GGGGTTTTGCCGCGTTGCCCAGCCTGGTCTTGAACTCCTGTGCTCAAGTGATCTGCCTACCTCAGCCTCCCAAAGTGCCGGGATTACAGGTGTGAGCCACCTCACCTGGACCCCTGCTTCCTGTCCACACTTTTGGGACTGGCTGTGCCTGCAGGCCTCTGAGCTGAGTCTCTCATGCCTCTCCTTTCCTTTCTGTCTCTACTTTCCGGGAGATTTTCTCCAGTCTCTCCTTCCACCCTTTCTTGGATTTGTATTTCTCCTCTTTTGAATTCTTATTTTTTGAGAGAGTGTTCTTGCTCTGCAGGTGTGCTTTGCGTGCTGCTCTCACTGTCTTACAGAGATGGCGTCGTTACCTCCCTAGGGACGGGAACCACGTCTCGTCTCCTCCCGGGCTCCCATAGGTTGCCTTGGGTCCCTCTTCTCTTCTCTTTTGCACCATGTCCCACCTGTTAGAAGCTTCGTCAATCCACAGATGTGCCTTGGCCGGCTGTTCTGTTTAACAGCGAGGTCCTAAAAACCCTCTTAGAGTGGCTGGTGTTGGAGCAGGGGCTGGGACAGGGACCCCGAGCATTCTCCTCTGCAGGGAGGTTCCCCCAGGAGGCTTCAGGTGCTGCCTTGGGACATAAAGGACATCGCAGACCCCTGCGGCCTTCTTGCCCCTCCACTGCCCACAAGGCTCTGTCCCAGCCCCTTCCTCCAGCCCCTCCAGGCGGGTCCCATCTGTGTCTTTAGGGCTTCAGGAGGGATCAGGTCCCTTCTGACAGAGCACTGCCCTCTCTGGGCCTGCCGGAAGCGATAACGGTCCCGACCCCAGGCCTCTCAGGGTGGCCTCCACCTCAGCGTAGAGCCAAGGGCATTGAGGGTGGACTGGAAGGACCACAGCCCTGTGCCCCAGGGAAGGCTTGTGTTGGGCTCTGGGGACAGAGCCCACCAGCTGGCAGCTCCAGAGGTGGCTTTAGGTCTGTCGTTGGATTTGCCTTTCTCAGCGTGACTTCTCATGATAACGCAACCCAGCGACCCGTGTGTCCCACAGCCCATCCATTCCTTTCCAGTCTCCCTGCACTGGCGTGTCCTGGGTGGTCCCAGAGGCGCCTTCTAGGCCCGGTCCCTGGGCATGGTGGAGGCTGCACGTGGTAGGCCAACACAGGGCTGTCCCCACGAGCCCAGCTCCGGGAGTCCCCCATGCAGGATCCTCCGGCTCTCTCATCTGAGGCAGAAATGTGACTTGGGAATTGTCCTCCCTATAAAGGAAGCAAAATCGGGGCCTAGGGGTGAGCTGCTTACTGTGCTTCTTCCCATTCTCAGCTTCCAATAGGGGGCACAGGCATTTGATTCCCGCGACATCTGTGGGCTGTCGCTGTCCAACCTCTGCGTCCCACACCCAGGCAGCTAGGGACTGGGGGGGCCTGACTGAGGCCTGGGGTACTTACCCCAGAAGGAGTGATTCCCTGTTTCCTAGAATTGAGCTGGGGGTCCCTGTCGGGGAGCAGTGGGGTCCCCTCAACTTTCTGCTCTCTCTCATTCCCACAGGAGGAAACGTGTGCATGTGTATGCCGTCATTTTCAGCATTCTTTTTTTTTTTTTTTGAGACGGAGTTTCGCTCTTGTTGCCCAGGCTGGAGTGCAATGGCGCAATCTCGGCCCACCGCAACCTCTGCCTCCCAGGTTCAAGTGATTCTCCTACCTCAGCCTCCCAAGTAGCTGGAATTACAGGTGTGCGCCACCACGTCCGGCTGATTTTGCATTTTTAGTAGAGACAGGATTTCTCCATGTTGATCAGGTTGGTCTCGAACTCCTCACCTCAGGTGATCTGCCTGGCTCAGCCCCCCAAAGTGCTGGGATTACAGGCGTGAGCCACAAATTTTTTTTTTTTTTTTTGCGGGGGGAGACGGAGACTCACTCTGTTGCCCAGACTGGAGTGCAGTGGCGCAATCTCAGCTCACTGCAAACTCCGACTCTCAGATTCGCACCATTCTCCTGCCTCAGCCTCCTGAGCAACTGGGACTGCAAGCGCCTGCCACCACACCTGGCTAATTTTTTGTATTTTTTAGTAGAGACAGGGTTTCACTGTGTTAGCCAGGATGATCTCCATCTCCTGACCTCGTGATCCACCCTCCTCGGCCTTCCAAAGTGCTGGGATTACAGGCGTGAGCCACCGCGCCCGGCCCAGCATTTTCTTTAGATTGCTAAGGGAGTGTTTCCGTGGACTCTTGGCATCAGACACGAGATGTCTTGATTAGTTTCCCAGACGGCTCCAAGGCCCCTGGCTTTGGAGCTGGGTGTCCCATCCCACCTCGGCCGGACACCCTCGGACCTGTCTTTCCCCAGAGCACTTTACCAGCCCTTAGCGGCGATGTACCTTTCCCAGCTGGAATGACACCGGGATCCCGCAGCCCAGGCCGGGTCCGGTGCTGGGGAACGTGGTGGAGAGACCACCCTCCTCTCTTCCCTGTGTTTGAGCCAGGTTTTGCCAACCTGTATTATTTCCACATGAAATTATTATCTGGGGAATGACAGCCTTTCCTGTGGGTTTTACTCCGTGAGGTTTTTTGTTTGTTTTTTGAGATAGGGTCTTACTCTGTTGCCCAGGCTAGAGTGCAGTGGTGTGATCATAGCTCACTGCAGCCTCGACCTCCTAGGCTCAAGCCATCTTCCTGCCTCAGCCTCCTGAATAGCTGGAACTGCAGGTGTGCACTGCCATGCCCAGCTAATTTTTTAAATTTTAAAACTTCATTTATTTATTTATTTTTAGAGACAGGGTCTTGTTCTGCTGGAGTGCAGTGGCACAATTATAGCTCACTGTCGCCTCAAGCTCCTGGGCTCAAGCAGTCCTCCTGCCTCAGCCTCCTGAGTTGCTGAGACTACAGGTGCACACCACCACACCTGGCTGATTATAAATTTTTTGTAGAGATGGGGGTGTCACTATGTTGCCCAGGCTAGTTTCGACCATCTGGGCTCAAGCGATCCTCCCACCTTGGCCTCCCAAATTGCTGGGCTTTCAGGCATGAGCCACCGCGCCTGGCAGACATGAATTTTCTAGGATCTTTTGCAAAATAACTGCTGGGAACAGGAACAGGTCCCTGCCACCCGTGATGGGCCATCACTGTTTGTTGTGGAGTGGCGGGGGGGGGGGTGCCCCTCATTGGTCCTCAGGAAGGATCCAGAAGCCTGCCACCTCATGGGCCTTGGACAAGATTTTCCGAGCTGATTGGCCATTCCCCAGCCTGTGGCTGGAGATCAGAGTGTATCTGAGTGACATCTCGGCTCAGTGGTCCCAGCAAGGCCTGACATTTCAGTTCTTCCTGCTGAGTCCCAGGGGAATATCCAGTGGCTTTGGGTCTGGGACTAGGTGCACAGGCGCGGTCTGCAGCCCCTCCAGCCATGAGGCCATCCTGCCTCGGCAGGGAGGCGTTTGGTTCCCAGAGGCCCTTGACAAAGCTGATTTTGGGGGCTGTGTGCTGTTCTCAGTCAAAACCTTTCTCTCCCCTTCTCACCTTCTTGTAAGCTTGGGTTTTGTATTTTGGGTTCAGAACTAAATTCAGAAAAAGTTTCCTTTTGACCGTTGCTACCTCTATTGAGCCATTTGTGGGTGTTCATTTAAGTTTCGACGTGTGCGGAACTTACCTATCTCTGCCGTATTTGGGGAGCCTGTTGGAAGAGAGAACAGGAATTCCAGATCAGAGTCCTTAACGTTCCATGTGGGTGACACTGAGTCATTCCTGAAAATGCCCCAGGCCTGAACTGCTCATTAATGTCAGCTGCCAGGTTTTTCTCAGCCACAGGAGTTTTTTTCATTCATCCCCCTGCTCCATCCAAAAAATGTTTCTTGAGCCCCGCCTGCGCCGAGGGGGGCTCCTGCTTAGCCTGAGGTTTGGAGATCTGAGTCTTGTGCCTGGACAGTTGGGGAAGGATGTTCCAGGCAGAGGAAGGGGCAGCAAGGCGGGAGGAGGAGAATGGACCTTCTGGATGGTTCTGGGTGGCCTGCAGGGCAGTGCAGCCAGGGAGCGTCCTGCCCGCCACGGGGGCTCTAAGGCGGCTGAGGGGGGATGTCAGCATCACAGGTGGGCAGGGTCCATCCCAGGACGGGGCCAGGTGGGTGCCCATGAGCTCAGGACAGTGGGAGCTCTTTCTCTTGGGAGGTTTTGCACCCGCTCTTCGTGTTCTCATTGGCTTTCTCTGAATACCTGTAATAGAAATCATTTTCAGAAGCAAAACATCGCCGTGGTTTGCTAACTGAAGCCTGCCTGAGTGAGTTAGGAAAGCAGGCCAGGACGCACCCCTCAGCCGGACGGACGCAGCCTCCTGCCCACGGTCCCGGCCTTAACCCAGAGCCTCACTTGCAGCCGGGGGTGTAGGTCACTCCCGGCCACCTGGGTTGCTCCAGCCTGGGAGGGAGAGGGGATGAGGGCAGGGGCATCTCAGCAGCTCAGGGCAAAACCGCAGGGGTCGTCTCTTCCCGAGGGCGGTGTCTTCAGAAGAGCCACCTGCCATGCCTTCATCCTGCGGGGCGATGGCACCTCCACAGCCCCTTTCTGGCATCTGCCTCTGACTGCACGGGGTTGCCCTGGGCCTGAGCCTTTTCCCACAGCGCCACCTTGTGGACACCTGTGCAGGAGCCAGCAGCCTGCAGAGGCTACCTGCTCCGGGTGCATGTCCTGTTGGGTGCACGTCCTGTAGGGGTGTGCGTGGGGGGAGCTGAGGAGGGGCCCGCACAGAGCTGCCTGACCAGGTGCTGCCCTGGGCCCTGCACAATGGCAGGAGGAGGGCCTGCAGCACTGTCAGTCCCCGAGCAGGAGTCACCACTGGAAGGAAACTTGGCTGCCGTCTCCAGCATCTTGGCCCTGACGCTGTGTGGGCTTGGCCGGGCAGCGTGATGGCGCTTACGATTGGAAAGTTCGAGCTTCTTCCCCACAGCCCCACCCTCTGGGTAGGTCCTGAAGCCCTGTGCCCCACAGGGCTTTTTCAGAGCCATGAGCTTACAGTGTCCTTCTCTCTCCTCAGCGTCCCCAACTCCTGCCCAGCCAGTCCACGTGGTGCCGGCTCCTCCAGTTACCGCTTTGTGCAGAACGTGACCTCAGACCTGCAGCTGGCAGCAGAGTTTGCAGCAAAGGCCGCGTCAGAGCAGCAGGCAGACACGTCCGGAGGAGACAGCCCCAAGGTCTGAGCCCACCCAGAGCCGTGATGCACGTGGTGACCAGGATCGGGCCATAGTGACCCAGTGTGGGCGGCACAGACAGCCCAGGGCCCGTGGGCGTGTGCTTGAGGTGGTCTCAGCCCACAGGGAATGGAGCCACAGCTGGCCGTAGAGCTGTCAGCGCTTTCTCCTTTTCGTGCCCAAATCATCCCCGTTGGTCATTTGCTGGTGACAGGGGTGGCACCGTCACCAAGGGCCCCTCCCGCTACGCTCCTTGTTCATTTGCTGCTGGCATCCTGGCGTCAGAGCCTTCATACAGCCCTTGAGAAGGATGGCACTCTCCTTACAACTTTGTGTCTTAGTTCATTTCTGTCCAACAGCTGTTTTCAGATTGATTTGTGGAAGAGGTGAGAAATTCCAGAATTAAATTATAATAAAAACAAAGTTTTCCTTCCCACGAGGCAAAAATGGCCGTTCCTAGTTGAATGCAAGCACATCAATGGGATAATTGGAGGGCACCGGGATGGGTGCCGTCGAGACATGCACGGTCTTGTGGGAAGGTTCCTCCCTGTCACCTGTGACAGGTGGGTGGAGTGGACTCAGGGACCTTGCTGGAGCTCATCCCGTGAGCCCTGTCTCTCCGCAGGACGAGTCAAAGCCGCCGTTCTCCTACGCGCAGCTGATCGTGCAGGCCATCTCCTCCGCCCAGGACCGGCAGCTGACCCTGAGCGGGATCTACGCCCACATCACCAAGCATTACCCCTACTACCGGACGGCCGACAAAGGCTGGCAGGTGAGGCCAAGTCCCTGGGGCTGGACCACCTCTGAAGGCCCTTAGAACGTGAAACTAACAGGCGCATCGCTTCCCTTAAAACAGAAAAGAGGGCCGGTAAGGGAGCTCATCCCTGGAACCCTAGCACTTTGGGAGGCTGAGGCAAGAGGAGGATCAAGACCAGCCTGGGCAGCATAGAACCTCTTTTCTACTAAAAATTAGCCCGAGTGTGGTGGTGCACACCTGTGGTTCCAGCTACTCGGAGGCTGAGGTGGGAGGATCACTTGAGCCCAGGAGGTGGAGGCTGCAGTGAGCTATGATCACACCACTGCACTCCAGCCTGGGAGACAGAGAAAGACCCTGTGTCTAAAAAGAAAAAAAAAATATTTTTTTAACTAAGAAGATAGATATAAAAGAGGGATGTTTTCACAGCTGGCCTATGATACATCTGAAAGGCACTGTGATACCATTGTATCTAAATACTCTTTTTTATTAGTTTTCTTCTTCTGAGCCCCAGAACTGAGAAGATGGGTCTATACCTTGTTAGATTTTGTGCTTGCTGTGCCTTACGATCCCATGTTAAGTTGGAAAAATGCACCGTATACTGTTAATAAAACCGTCTACATGTCTGAATTGTGGATGGGATTGTAAGAGCTTTGTCCACACCAGCCATGACTGATGCATGTTGCATTTGCCTGTATTTTCTCCAAAGTCAGTGTAGCATATCCACTAGTTTTGTTTTGTTTTGTTTGTTTTTTGAGACAGGATCTCACTCTGCTGCTCCAGCTGGAGTGTAGTGGCACGATCTCAGCTCACTGCAACCTTTGCCTCCCGGGTTCAAGCGATTCTTCTGCTTCAGCCTCCCAAGTAGCTGGGACTACAGGCGCCCATCACCACGCCTGGCTTTTTTTTTTGTATTTTTAGTAGAGACAGGGTTTCGCCATATTGCCCAGGCTGTCTCAAACTCCTGACCTTAGGTAATCCTGCCCACTTTGGCCTCCCAAAGTGCTGGGATTACAGGCGTGAGCCACTGCGACTGGCCAAGACCCAGTGTTTTCTTTGTCCCAGACATGCTCCTGGACCAGGATCTGTCATTCTGTTTCACTTTTTCTGTAAAGAATGGTAATGGCAGCCAGGCACAGTAGCTCATGCCTGTAATCCCAGCACTTTGGGAGGCCGAGGTGGGAGGATTGCTTAAGCCCAAGAGTGTGAGACCCCATCTGGACTAAAAATACAAAAAATCAACCAGACATGGTGGCCCACGCCCATAGTCCCAGCTACTCAGGAGGCTGAGGCAGGAGAATCCCTTGAACCCGGGAGGCGGAGCTTGCAGTGAGCTGAGATTGAGCCACTGCACTCCAGCCTGGGCGACAGAGCGAGACTCTGTCTTAAAAAAAAAAAAAAAAAAAAAAAGTAAAATGGTCATGATGCTGTGTCAAATTTTGATAGGCATGACCTGTCCTGTGCCTCAGTGCTGCTCCCATGAGGCCCAGTCAGTGCAGCACCAAGGGCTCTGCACAGCGGGACGCCCCCCCCCCACCCTGGTCCCGCGTCTGTTGCAGATTTGGGGCGGGTGGGACTCGTTTTCTGATTTGCTGGTGACGGGTGAATGTCTCTGCTTCCCTGCAGAATTCTATCCGACACAACCTCTCTTTGAACCGTTACTTTATTAAAGTCCCACGTTCCCAGGAGGAGCCTGGGAAGGGGTCTTTTTGGCGAATAGACCCCGCCTCTGAAGCCAAGCTCGTGGAACAGGCATTCCGGAAACGGAGGCAGAGGGGCGTCTCCTGCTTCCGCACCCCTTTCGGGCCTCTGTCCTCAAGGTAAAGCTCTCTGCGCGGCCGTCCTTGAGCTGTTAGGAAAGCTGAGCTGCCCCGGAGCTTAGAGATGCCTGATGCAGTCTGCCCTCTGGATCTGTGGGCCCCATAGCTGCAGGCTCAGCGTGCGGGCATGCAACTGATCACAGGTCCAAAATATTAAAAAAAAAAAAAAAAAGGGCTGGTGCGGTGGCTCACGCCTGTAATCCCAGCACTCTGGGAGGCTAAGGCAGGTGGATCACCTGAGGTCAGAAGTTTGAGAGCAGCCTAGCCAACATGCTGAAACCCTTGCCTCTACTAAAAAAAATACAAAATTAGCTGGTTGTGGTGGCAGGTGCCTGTAATTCCAGCTACTCGGGAGGCTGAGGTAGGAGAATCACTTGAACCTGGGAGGCGGAAGTTGCAGTGAGCCGAGATTGTACATACCACTGCACTCCAGCCTGGGTGACAAGAACAAAACTCCGTCTCAAAAAAAAAAAAGTAATACAAATGAAACAATACACACTACAACAGCTATTTACATAGCATGCATAGTGTGTTAGGGATTATAAGCAACCTGGCGATGATTTAAAGCTTACAGGAGGATGTGCGCAGGTTGTATGCAAAGGTGGCACCATTTCTACGAGGAACATGGATAAGCATCTGCAGATTTGGTACCTGCAACCCCCTCCCCTCAAGTACCGAGGGGTGACTGCTGGTTTTGGCACTCAAGGCTCCACCATTTTCTGTTCGTGTTTTTGTTTTGAAAGAATACCTCAGGACCAAGAACTCCTAAAATAGTAGGATTACTAAGTAAGCCACTGACTGTTGTATGAAAAATCACATTTTAGTTCTTAGAAGTGGAAATGTGTGTAGCAATGGGAACAGTTCCTAAGGCCGAGAATAAATGGACTGCAGCTTTCGGTGCTTTCGGTGGCACTGAACTTTCCGTTGCAGTGTGAGAGGACCCAGGGAGAGCCGAATATTTGAAGGGACAGGCGAGGGGTATGACCTGGGGAGCCCACAACCGCCTTTGCTTTTCCCAGATGCTGGGAATGCAGCCCTGCTGCAGGCGGGGTGGACAGACCCTCCCCCAGCCGCCACTGCCCACCTGGTGGGTCAGGGCCTCCCCTGCCCAGCTTGGTCTTGGCCGAGCCCAGTCTGGAGGAGCAGCACGTCCTGTGAGTGGCCTGGGCAGCTCTTCCCAGGTTGCGCTTCAGATGAGCCCATCCCAGGTGTGGGGGAGGAGATCTCCTGAGCGGCACTCTCGGAAGTCCTTCCCAGTGGAAGGACACGTTAGCATCTCGTGCTTCCCATTTCAAAATTCTGTTTCCAACACCATTCGATGAAAGATTGAAATATCTGAAAATTCATTCCAGGCAAGGGTCTGGCCTTGCGGTTCTCAGGTGAACTGGGCGTATGGTTAAGGTAGGACTTCAAAAAAGTGTTAGAACATCATTTGGAGCATTTCAACTGAGCATTTCAACTGAGCTCCAAGTGATGTTCAGACACTTTTTTGAATTCCTGCCTTAACCATACGCCCCATTCACCTGAGAATCACAGTGCCAGACCCTGTGCCTGAAATGAATTTTCAGATACTTCAATCTGAACACAACATCACTTAAATGGAACGTGAAGAGAAATTTTGTTAAACCATTAGGTTGCTAGAGCTGTTGAAACAAGTACCACATACTGGGCAGTTTGAACAGGTGATGATTGTCCCACAGTTCTGCAGGGAGGCTGGAGGTCCAGGGACAAGGTATCGGGAGGGCTGGGTCTGTCTGAGGCTGCGAGGAGTCTCCCCAGGCCTCCGCCCTGGCTGCCGACGGTCTCCAGCACTCCTCCGCCTGTGGGTGTGTCACACCACCCTCTGCCTTCATCTTCAAGTGGCACCATCTGTGTGTGTCAGGGTACATTTCCCCTTTATATGAGGACACCAGTCATTGGATTCGGGTCCACTCAAATGACCATGACCTTTTGACTTGATCACCTCTGTTAGACCCTGTCTCCAAACAAGCTCACGTTCTGAAGTACTGGGGGTTAGGGTGCCAGTGTTTCTCCTTTGGGGGACACGGGTGAACCCCTGATAGCCACCAATGTCATTTTCAATGACACTGAAGATGTCCATCTTCAAGGTCGCCCTTGGAGCTGTGGAAGCAGGTGTTGTGCTGATAGAATCTGCTTGGGTGGTGGAAGGAGGGAAGACCCTCCGGGCCCTGAGGACTGTACGGCAAGAGCTGTGTCTTCCAAAGAGGGAGGAGGCTGGCTTGACTTCCAGAGGCTGGATGGATTTAAAGGGAGGCAGGTCCTAGGAAATGGGGTGACTGGGTAGAGGAAGGGGAGATTAGAGAGGGCCCTGACAGGCATTTGGACTCTTGGTAAGAATTAGAGCCGTGGCAGACTCCAGAACTGGGGAGCGGCCTGGCCACACGGGTTTGGGATTGAGTCCGGTGTGCGCTGGAATCTGCAGTCAAGGCCTCCAGGCCCCTGGATGAGGAACAGACGGGGAGCTAAGTGGTCTGGAAGAGACTACAGGGCAGCAGGGAGGGGAGGGATGGAGAGGGAGCGCCCGGGCCTCTGCCCATGGAGCCCAGGAAGGGCCCAGCTCAGCCACCCGTGGTAGACACAGCATATGCAAAGTGACCAAGGATGTTTGTAGCATGATGAAGACTCTGGCCAGGCACGGTGGCTCATGTCTGTAATCCCAGCACTCTGGGAGGCTAAGGTGGGAGGATCACTTGAGGCCAGGAGTTCAAGACCAGCCTGGGCAACCTAGCGAGACCCCTGTCTCTACCAAAAAAAAAAAAAAAAATTATATATATATATGTACGTATGTGTTTGTCTGTGTATCTGTGTGTGTGTGTGTGTGTGTGTGTGTGTGTGTGTGTGTGTATTTAAATAAAGACTCGCTCCTTACCCCAGCCGCCCCGGTGAGTCCCAGCTTCCTGCCTCTCTGGTCTATGCTGAATCCTCCTGCTTTGCGTGTGCAGCGGCGTGGCTGGGCTGCGTGTCCTGCCTCACGTGTGTGTTGGGTGGTCCCAGAGAAGAAAGCTGACTGCTTCCAGGCCTGGGTCTTGGCTGTGTTGCAGTCGCCCATGCCAGGCCCTCACAGGTGGCACCTGGCAGGAACGCTGTATTGTAGAGCCTGGGTCGATGGTGGCGGGGAGCGGGCGGGGAGCGGGCGTGCTTGGACTGTTAGTTGTGCAGGAAAAGGTTGTGCTCCCAAAGCTCGTTTTACTCTCAGGGGTAGAGTTTTCATGGTGTAATGGTTGTGCCCATCAAACAGAAGCTTATGTTTTTGGTACAGAAGGCCTGAGCCATTTTCACGAACACCTGGCTGGACCTCGGTGGAAGTGAACTCTGCAGGTTGTCGCGTTTACTGCAACACCTCAGATGATACCGTCCCCTCCCATGGAACGGAGCCTCCCCCGATGCAGCCCCCACTCAAATGGAGTTTTAAACACTGGGTTCAGGTTTCAGGGGGGCATTTCTCACTGTCTGAATGGGGAGGACAGAGACAGCTCCAGGGAGCGTGGGCGGGTGATGGGGGCGACACTGAGATGCGTGGTGTCTCGGAAACGTCCTCCTGCCCCTCAGCGTGGGCGCTGACTGCCACGACCCTTCCCTCTCTTCCAGGAGCGCTCCAGCTTCGCCCACACACCCCGGACTGATGTCCCCTCGCTCCAGCGGCCTGCAGACCCCAGAGTGCCTGTCTCGGGAGGGCTCCCCCATTCCACACGACCCTGAGTTTGGGTCCAAGTTAGCTTCTGTCCCAGAGTACCGGTATTCCCAAAGCGCACCCGGTAAGGAGCGGGCGGCCCTCTTGCGGGGTGGGGTGGGGCTCGTGGGGGCGCGGGAGGGGTCACCATCTGCTCTCCGCCCTCCATGCAGGCTCCCCCGTCAGTGCCCAGCCAGTGATCATGGCTGTGCCTCCCCGACCGTCCAGCCTCGTGGCCAAGCCCGTGGCCTACATGCCCGCCTCCATCGTAACCTCACAGCAGCCCGCGGGCCACGCTATCCACGTTGTGCAGCAGGCCCCCACCGTCACCATGGTCAGGGTGGTCACCACGTCCGCCAACTCGGCCAACGGATACATCCTCACCAGCCAGGGCTCGGCGGGGGGCTCCCATGATGCGGCAGGCGCAGCCGTGCTGGACCTGGGCGGCGAGGCCAGAGGTAATGCAGCTGCGGCTGGCAGCCTTCGCAGGACCCTCCGTGGTGGTCTGGGCCAGCAGATCCGCAAGGCAGTGCCATCGGCCTGGGCCTGGGGCTTGAGGAGGATGATTCTCTGCTTCTGCCTCCGCTACCTTGTCCTTTTAAATCAGCATGAGCTGGGTGGATGGCTCATGCTTATAATCCCGGCACTTTGGGAGGCCAAAGCAGGTGGATCACGTGAGGTCCGGAGTTCGAAGTCAGCCTGGCCAATGTACTGAAACCCTGTCTCTACTGAAAATACAAAAATTAGTCAGGCATGATGGTGCGCTCCTGTAGTCCCAGCTACTCGGGAGGCTGAGGGAGGAGAATCGCTTGAACCCTGGAGACGGAGGTTGCAATGAGTTAGATTGCGCCAGTGCACTCCAGCCTGGGCGACAGAGCAACGCCCTGTCTCAAAAAAATTAAAAAACCATGACTCTCCACAGATGCGTCCTTCCTTGTTGAATAGGGCCCTCGGATGCACATAGCTGTGTCCTTGCCCTTAAATTCAGTTGTGCTGTGGCCTTGCATGCTTTTGGAATTCAGTATTTTCTGCAGGAGAAAGAATGAGCCTGGGAAGACTGTTCTTTTCGACTCCCTCGTAAGGAGACTTTAGAAGTCATTTAGGAAAAAGTAGTTCTGAATTGCTAAAAGAAATCCAATCCCAGGGCTTGATGGGGTAGACACTGAACACGCAGCTGACCCCAGAAGCCCCTCTCTGGAACACCTTCAGTTAGGCAGCACCCCCTGACGCCACTCTCCACCCTTGACTTCATCTCCGCGGTGGTGTTTATTTCAATGTTGCCGTAATGAAACTGCAGTTTGGTGAAGGAAGGCCAAGTTACAGCTGTAATCAGGATCGTTTCATTCTAAGTAATACATTTTCTTTCTCAGGCTAAATTTGGGTTAGTTAAAGCTAAGGTATTTAAAATACTGTTCTAGGCCGGGCGCGGTGGCTCACGCCTGTAATCCCAGCACTTTGGGAGGCCGAAGTGCGCGGATCACTTGAGGTCAGGAGATCGAGACCAGCCTGGCCGACATGGTGAAACCCCATCTCTACTGAAAATGCAAAAATTAGCCGGTTGTGGTGGCGGGCACCTGTAATCCCAGCTACTCGGGAGGCTGAGGCAGGAGAATGGCGTGAACCCGGGAGGCAGAGGTTGCAGTGAGCTGAGCTCGTTCTGCTGCACTCCAGCCTCTGTGACAGAGCAATAAAACCCGTCTCAAAAATTAAGTAAAATATTGTTCGAAAACCTTAGTAATTGTTTTCTTCCCAAACCTATTTCGCCCGTGGGATTTTCCTCTAGCAAACCAAGTTTTTCCCAGTGCCGACCTCACTTTCCCCACTTGGCAACCTGTTGCCCAGGCGTCGAGGAAATCGATTGTCTCGTTGGCCCAGTGTGGTGCTGACTTGGTTCCTGTCCCGCAGGCCTGGAGGAGAAACCCACCATTGCGTTTGCCACAATCCCCGCGGCCGGTGGAGTCATCCAGACAGTGGCCAGCCAGATGGCCCCCGGGGTCCCCGGACACACAGTCACTATCCTGCAGCCCGCCACACCTGTGACCCTCGGGCAGCACCACCTTCCAGTCCGGGCCGTCACTCAGAATGGAAAGCATGCGGTTCCCACGAACAGTTTAGCTGGCAGCGCTTACGGTGAGGCCCTGGCCCTGTTCTGCATGCCACATCCGAAGGTCTGTGGCTCCCAGTAGTCAGTGCAGCACGAGAATGTTCTCCCAGTATCACCCGATCCTCCACTCAGTTCAGTTTATTGCACACCTGCTATACTCCAGGCACCGGGATAATGCTAAGAAAAGAGGGTGGAAGGGGCTGGGCTCTGTGGCTCACACCTATCATCCCAGCACCTTGGGAGGCCAAGGCAGGCAGATCGCTTGAGCCCAGGAGTTTGAGACCAGCCCGGGCAACATAGCAAGACCCCATCTCTACGTAAGATTCAAAAACTTAGCCAGGTGTGGTGTCGCGCACTTGTGGCCCCCGCTCGGGAGGGTGAGGCTGTACTCGGCTATGATTGCTCCGCTACATGCCAGCCTGGGTGACTGAGCGAGACCCTGTCCCTTAAAAAAAAAGGGAGAAAGAAAAGAGGGTGGAAGGAAAACCCAGACCTGCCCAGTGTCTGGAGCTCACGCTCCATGGGGTGAGGCAGGAGGTCAAGGGAAGGAGGAGAGTTGGGGTGCTGGGGTGCAAGGGCATCGGGCAGGGTGTCAGTGGGGTGGCTCAGGGCGGTGCATCTGTGTAAAGGAGTGGGGCGAGCCATCGATGTCCAGCAGGATCCAGACAGCAACAAGAGGGGCCTCCACCTGATAGGCTGGAGCCAGCAGAAACGGGGCAGATGAGGTGGGGAGGGGATGGCAGGGCCCACATGGCCCGCAGGGAGCAGAGCAAGGGGAGCTGGCCTGCCTGGCAGGGGTGCACTGAGCTCCAGTTCCTGCTCGGCAGCTTAGCCCCTGTGTAGGTGACTTGAAAAAAATAGCTGGGTCCTAACCAGATCCCAGAGTAACCCTCTTTTTCCTCCACTCCAGCCCTCACCAGCCCTCTGCAGCTCCTTGCAACCCAAGCGAGTTCGTCCGCGCCAGTGGTGGTCACCCGGGTGTGCGAGGTGGGGCCCAAGGAGCCAGCAGCAGCCGTCGCGGCCACGGCCACCACCACCCCAGCCACTGCCACCACCGCCTCTGCCTCTGCCTCTTCCACTGGAGAGCCCGAGGTCAAAAGGTCCCGGGTGGAGGAGCCCAGTGGGGCTGCAACCACACCGGCTGGAGTGATCGCCGCCGCTGGCCCCCAGGGGCCAGGCACCGGGGAGTGAGGTCCCCTGCAATGTGGGGGAGTGGGACTCACCCAGCGGCGACCCCGAAGCTGGACTCGGCAGCTCAGGCGGCCGCACCCACAGACGGAGGAGAACAGCCCATGGCGGCCCGCGGGCATCAGCAGCACCTGGACACACCCAGCCCTTTCCATTTTATCGCCTGCCCTCCCGTGGTTTAAAACAAAAACACATAAACAAGTTCAGACAACTGATTGTATGATTCTGGGAATTCTTTGCTTTCATTTCCTTCTCCCTTGGCACCACCTCCTCTCCCCAGGCCTCCCTGTTGGGCGTGGGGAGGAGGTTGGAGCTCAGCATCTCGAGGAATGTGTCAAGACAGCCCCTCTGCTCCACGCTGCACGGCCAACTGCCTTTGTCCCGGGAGGAGGGACAGAAACGCAGCAAGGCACACACCGAGGCTGCCGGGGAGGCCCGGGTACTGGACGGATGCCTGTTGGGGAAGCCAGGAGCTGCCTAGCCACGGACTGCCTAACAGCCTCTCTGCCCGGAACGTGACATAGAAAGTGTTGGCATTAACTCGGGGGGTGTCCGGTTTCACTTCGGACCCCAAGTTTTTCTTTGTTTAAACTTGGAATTCAGACTTCATTGTACACCTGAGGCAAACACAAAAGGGATCATGTATTTTTGAGGATTTCATCTGTTGACGGTCTGATGACTGGCTGTAGGTCTGGGGTTCCCGCTGGGTTTAGTCCCCTCGAAGAGTAAACCTGCCGCTCTGATAACTTCAAGTAAGAGCAGCGGCTTCCTGGGTTGGCGTTCGCGGTGGAAGCTTCCTAGGATGCAAGATCGACCTGGATCCGCCAGCCGCAGACGTCGCACTGCCGGGGACAGTCGGGGCCACTGCTCTGCAGACCAGACCTTCCCAGATTCTCCCGTGGCTCCGACGTCCCGGTGCTGACGGCCACAGCGGGACCCAACGGTGCCAAATGCCATCTGCTCCAGCTGCTGTTTCACTCAGTTACAGCGTCCGTGCCACTCCCACATTGATCTGCTGTTTTAAATTGGAAGCATTTCTCCTGCCTGAAACTCCAGGGCCCCTCCGTGAGCAGAAGGGAGACCCCACCGTGAGCAGAAGGGAGACCCCACCGTGAGCAGAAGGGAGGTGGCACGTGGCCACCCTCATGGGGGAGCTCTGTTTGCTCCTGGGCCACTGCTCAGGTCCGTCCGTGAGCAGAAGGGAGACCACACCCCAGCAGCAGTGGCGAGCAGGCCTGTGCCTCCACACCCAGCCCCGGCCAGCGCGACTGCTTTTGTTTGCCACACGGTGAGAACCGGAGGACGGGATGCTCCAGCAGTTGGGTGGCTCCGAGGTCCCTGAGGAAGCCCCTCCTGCACTTCTATTAAGACGGCCAGTGGCTCCTGGATCTTTTGTCATCAAGCGGCATTGAGCCAGAGCTGTGTAACGCCGAGCCCAGCTCGAGGAGGAAAGAGGATTCCTTCCGTGTGTCTTGGAGATGCGAAGTACATCCCTGTAAAGGTCAGCTGTCAGTTTTGCTGGCCGCTCCGGCGCTGGCTGTCCTGTTGGGGAAATAGCAACAGATTCGACACAGAGCTCCGGAAGAGCCTGAGGAGTAGTGGGTCTTGGAAGTCGCCCATCCTCTGTGTCACAGCATCTCACCAGCAAAGCAGCCTCCGCCCGGGCCCTGGCGGGAGAGCCACAGAGGGACCCAGGCGCCTGGAAGGCGTCTGAGGGAGGTGGCTGGGCAGGTGTCTCCCTGGAGAAGAAGGGAGAATGCTTTTCAAAGTGATTCCGAGGCAGTGCGGGAGGACACGCGTGCTGTGCGGCGGAGTGGGGTCGCCCGTGGCCCCATCAGAGTCCCCGTCCCCCAGGACAAGTGCAGGACCTCTGTGGGCCCCCTCCTTCCACCTAGATAGAGAAAACCTCCGTTCAGTTTCCTTCTCCCATTCTGTTGTTTTTCTAAGCCCCCCAAAATGAGTCGTTTCTATGGCACTAACCTTTCCATGAGAAATAAGCTCTTTGTGGAAGTCCATACCTGTGGCCCTGGGTGAGGTTTCAGAGGAATGGGGGCGGGATGAACACAGCCGGCCATCCTGGGTGCAGTTCCATCCGTGGAGGGTGAGAGATTGCGCCCCGTACCACACTGAAGCCTCCTGCTGTTGTCTGTGGGCCTTTTCTTTCCGTGGTGCCTGGTGTGTGCGTGCAAAGCTGAGAGAACGGGGTGTGGTGGTTGGAGATGGCTCCCTGACACCGGTGCCTGTGTGGCCTGAGCTGGCACCCTCCCGGGAGCGCCCGTCACAAAGGGCCTCTGTGACCACCTGCTGCTACTCTCTCTTCCATGGTGACTGTGTGCCCCCAGGACTGCACGTGGCCACCCTCATGGGGGAGCTCTGTTTGCTTCTGGGCCACTGCGGTTGGCCTCCTCGTGCAAGCTGATGTCTGCAGGGAGCGCCGCGTGCCGGGATTGCACCACGTGTTGGTCACACAGTGAGGTCGCCTCTTGGCCTGGTCCGCTCAGGCTGGCTCTGACCCACTTGCTTTCCTGGTTTTTGAGATGGAGCACATTCTTCCTGTTAGCGGTAGTGTTCTCTGATTTTACTGCTTCAATGCCAAGGGCGTGGAAAGGGAGTGGTGGATGGAGCCGGAAGGTGGTGAGCACAGGATCCCTGGGCTGCGTTCTGCCGCTTGGGAGTCCTCACTGTCTGGCTTCTGCGGGGACTGCAAAGAGGGATGAAGGGACGTGGTCCTAGGGGTCGGCTCAGACTCAGAGCAGGGCAGGGAGAGGAGGCCTGGGTCCTGGATCCACTGCTCTGGGCTCATAACCATGAGATTTTGAAAGAGTTTTTGGTCATCTGAGCAGGTACCATGCCTGGCTCATGCTGGAGCTTGTCTTGGAACCAGTAGCCAGAGGCCCAGGAAGGGACAGGGCCCAAAAGGGCTGCACATCCCAGCCACAAAGTCCTCCCGGTGTGCCCTGAGCCAGCCCAGTGAGCGCCTCCCAGCCAGGGGCTTTTGCAGAAGCAAGAGCATAGGCCAGGAGGATCCGGAGAGCCTCAGCCCCCAGCGTGGGCGGCCTGGGACCCTGAGCCGTGTCTGGTTGACCCAAGAACCTTCTCTGGGTTCTCCAGGGTGAGCTGACCCTAGCAACGTGCAGAAATGTGGGGAGAAAAGTAGCTTGATTCCAGCCCCGTTGTGGGGTCACTGCAGAGGCAGAGGCTGAGGGCCTGCTCTCTGGTCACCAGGGGCTGGGGGCACGGTCCACAGCGGATGAAAACAGCAGGTCACAGTGGTGGCTTTGGGAAGGGCCCCTCCTGCTTTGCCCTGTTCAGAAAGGGGCTCCCTGAGAGCCCCTGGGCTCGATAACCCGCTTCTCTCTTCTGCTTCCTGCTGGATAATTGCCAGGTTTACCAAATACAAGAAAACACCCACTTTGGCTAGGAGATAAGTCCCAAAAACAACGTCTTAAGTGGTTGAGCACAGGCATCCACCGAGGCCATCTCGTGGCCCCTGGGAAGTGGGGAAGCAGGGCCTGAGCGTCCCCCGGCTGCTACAGCAGCAGCTGGCTCAGGGCACCCTCTCCCGTGCCAGCTTCTGCCACCAGCCCAGTGTCCACGGAGCTGCAGGGCTGGAGGAGGTCAGGGAGACCTGGCTGTCAAGGGCATGGTGCCCAGTGTCCTGGTGTGTGCCCGTCCTCAGCCACTTGTGTCTTTCTTTCCACGTGGAAGTTCTCCCAGTGACACCTGCCCTCCGTTGAGGGTGGAATCTGTCACTCATGCCTTTGAGGGACCCAGATAGACTGTCCCTCTTCTGCTTTCTTTACATTCCTAAAAACCTCAACGTTAATCCCTCACCAATTGGGCCGAGTACGGCCTCACAGCTCTGCAGCACCCCAGCCTTCTCCCACTGGCTTCACGCTAGAGGGCGCCACGTGCTCTGGGTGAAATGAGACGCTGGTGTCAGGTCCCCATGCAGAGACCCTCAAGGCAGCCCTAGGAAGACACTGGGGCGGGGGGGACCGTGACCAGGCAGGTGGAGCCATGTGTGTCTCACACCTGCCGCCCCTCAGTTTCCTTCCCGAGGTCTGGTGTGTTCTCTTTGGGATTTGCTGTTTATTTGTATTTCCTTTTTCTTTGATTTAAGAACCATGCTAAGTGAAAAAGGTGGGAATGAATTTCTGAGTTGCTGAGGGTTCCCTGATCCTAGGTACTGTGCTCTGTGCTTCTCGAGCAGGGAGGGGATGGATTTGGTGGAGTTGGGCCAGGCCGGGGGCTTCACCCTGCCCCCTCCAGACTGCCGGAGCCCCAAGAAGTTTTGAGTCCAGCTGGGCCTCGCCGCCCGCCCCGCCACCCGCTCCTGGGTCCGTTTACTGGTTTAAGATCAGAGGCATCATTCAGCGAATGCTCTTGTGTTCTCTACATAAAGAGGGCCCTCCCTGGAACACTCCAAGGGAGCTGGGACTCTCCAAAAAGCCCCCACTAAGGGCTCCCTCTGTCTCTCGAGAGAAATTCCTTCTTTGGGCGAATCCGCGAGTTCAGGAGGAGAAGGCAGCTTTTCCTTGGCTTTGAAATCAGTGTTAGAGACAAAGAACAGACCTCAGTGGAAAAATGAAAACGTAACTGAACATGGGGAAGCGTCGGAGAAGAAAGGATTGTCCCCTTCGCTTTCAGAGCCGGCGGGAGTGCAGGTCTGTTTTGCTTCAGAAGCCTCACATTCTGCTTTGCCTTTGAGTGACTTCATGCGGGATGAGGAACTGTAGAGCTCTCTAGAGCGGATGCCCCAAGTCCATCCTGGGCTCCTCCTCACCCCTCTGAGAAAGCCCCCTAAAAAAGGCTTTAGAATCACCAGCGTGCCGCCTCATGTTTCAGGGCGGAATCACACGCTCCTCACGCTGGAATAAGTTACAAAACATGATTGTAAGGCTGTTTGCAAATGCAGAGCCCCAGAATGCTGGATGGAGACCTCCTCGGCCCTGCGGGCGGCCTGGCTGCAGTAGGTCTGCTGTAAGGGGTGACCACGGGGACTGCATCACACTCCTGATGAAAACGTGTTTACCCACAGCCTCGCCTCGAGCCTCCTTGACGTTACCGCTGCCTCGAAGCAATATTACTTAATAAGGATACTTTACATTGCTCACATGTGCTGCTATGAAGACAGGATTAATCTTTAGACAGGACTCAGCTCCGGAGGTTCCCGGGTAATGTATTTTGGCTCTTGGAAGTGAGGGTAGAATTGAGAATATAACAAATGGTCTCTTGCCCGGTTCTGTCCCTTATTTTTAGATTGTTTTCCTGCATCTTACAATTTTCTTTTCCTTTCTCCAGGCCTGTTTTTCAGTGCTCAGGACACAGTTTTCATCACATACTTACTGTTTTGTTGCTGGGTTTGATGCAAGCCCTTTGCAATTCACATTGTCTTTTAATACAAAAAGCTGCTACATTTGGTGACCAGAGGGAGGGTTTGGAATCTGTGCTTTGCAGGGGATCTCGGTGGGTACCGCGGCCCCTTGCAGGGTGGGGAGCTGGGTCCGTGCCTCGAGAGGGGGGCCCTTTCCCACCCCACGCGGCTTGAATTCTGTCAGAGTTGAATCTGTGGAAAGGATTGTCCCGTTGGAGCTGCTGCATCCTTTCCTCTGTCCTCCCTGTCTCCCAAACCCCGAAGTCACAGCTGCTTGCAAAAATGGGATTTTGGGGATCCAACCACACACATTTCCCTCTGAACTGAAATTTTAAAAATAGACCCATTTCACTGACTTCTTTAAGGAAAATAGTTTCACTCTTGGGTTGCCTTGTGAGCCCACAGGCGTGGGACCCTGTCTCTGCTGGGCTTTTCCGGCCCCATCCCAGCTCCTCCTTCTCAGGCAGAGGCTGCAGCCCTCAGCTCTGCTGCTGGATGGAGCATTCGAGAACCCCCTCCTGGAAGGCAGACAGGGTGGAAGGCCCAGAGCCAGCCCTGCCATGCGTCATGACCAGTGGTGCTACCTGGGGGTGTGAAGCTGGGCTGGCTTTTCCTGGAGGTGG